ACAACAAATTTGGAGAAAATCGGTTCAGAAACAGCTATAGCTCCCATATATATGTTTTATCCGATTTGGTGTTTAAGCCTCTCACATTCGTAATATGCACTCCACAAGAATGATATTTGGTACCAGATAAAAGATACAGCCCAGAAATAGCTGTTTGTAATTTTATCGAAATCAGTTCAGATTTGGATATAGCTCCCATATATATCTTCATCCGATTTCGGGTTAATTGTGCACCAAATGGCCGATATAAGTCCAAATGGACTGAATTTTAGTACATCGGACCAAATTCAGCCTAGAAGCAAGTATATCAAATTTAGTGAAAATCGGTTCAGATATAGATATAGCAACCATATATATGTTTCATCCGATTTAGTGTTTTAGTCCCTTACATTCGTAATATTCACTCCACAACCGTGATATTAGGTACCAGGTATTAGATGGAGCACAGGAATAGCTGTTTTAAATTTTACCGAAATCGGTTCAGATTTGGATATAGCTCCCATATATATCTTCATCCGATTTCGGGTGATTGACCACCAAATGGCCGTAATAGTATCAATTTTGGCAAACCCGACCGAAACCAGCTTAGAAGCAAGTACACCAATTTTAGTAAAAATCGGTTCAGATATAGCTATAGCTCCCATATATATCTATCATCCGATTTGGTCTTTAAGTCCCTCACATTCGTAATATGCACTCCACAGGAATGATATTTGGTACCAGATATCAGATAAAGCCCAGAAATGGTTGATTTTAATTTTTTTTAAAATCTGTTCCGATTTGGATACATTCTTACATTCGTAATATACTCTTCACAGGAATGATATTTGGTACCAGATATCAGATAAAGCCCAAAAATGGTCGATTTTAATTTTATGAAAATCTGTTCAGATTTGGATATAGCATAGCATACTCTTCACATTATTCTATCGATTTCAGGTTAATTGTGCACTAAATGGTCAATATCAGCCCAAATCACCTGAATTTTCGTACATAAGACCGAATTCAGTCTAGAAGCTAATACGTCAAATTTGGAGGTACCCGGTTCAGAGATAGCTATAGTTCGTAAAATGCACGATAGAATTAGATAGATTTTGATTTTGCACCAAATATCTAATAGAGCTCTGAAATGCCCTGTATAAACCTTTTTACGAGAGCTCTACTAAATATGCATAGTGGTGTAGGGTATCATATAGTCGGCCCCGCCCGACTTTTGAGCTTTCCTTACTGGTTTATGCTGATTTCGTTGACGAATATAGCCAAATATCGTAGACAAGCAAATCATATAGATGAGTCTTAATTTAGAGATACAGAGGGGACTCTTGCTTTTGGAGATGATTGCAAAATATTTAGGGATTCAAATGAACCAAATACAGAAAAAAATTTCTTGATCACACAATTGAAGCCAATCGACACGCTTGAGAAGAGAGTTTAGGACAGGGAAGGATTCAAGCATTTTGGATGGAAAATGGACCACAACAACTAAATGCATGACGGACTGCTTAAATATTGGGCAAATGTCCCTGGTCAGGTCAGTGCTCCGTGACATAATTTCAAAAGACAAATCTTCATAAATCGATCTGCATATAAGGGGGCTTCTAACATATGGTAGTGTTGTAGGATATCACATGGTCGGCCCCGCACGGCTATAAACTTTGCTTACTTGTTTCGTATAAGAATTTAAAAAAATAAAATTGATTTATTTAATTATTTTTGTCGATAATTTTAACCCTCAAGAGAACCACCAAAGGGGTCTTTTTGTTCCTTTTCTAAAAACTCACTTTTAAATCGTTGAAGGCTTGATTGTCAATTTAAAATCAATAAACACCTTTTTGACTTTTTATCAGATAGAGACGTTATCATATAAATTTTTTCAATTTAGTGTTGGCTTATTTTTCGGGATACCATAGTATTTTGTTGTTGCAAAATGGCTTAATCCCTTTATTGTTGTTTTTATAAAAACAACGTTTGTTTATTAGTGGAGAAGGATGGTAATGTTTACCAGGGGGCAAGGCAGGGAATACCTAGGTTTCAGAAAGAGTCACCAATCCTCATCAGTTCCCTTGTTTTTAGTCTGGGATATTCTCCCCAGAAGTGATATTAAAAATAACTTCTATGACAAAAAACATTTTTTACCCAAGTGACGAGATCATAAGCTCAAAAGAAGAGGAACCAAAGAATTACATGGAACTAAAATTCTTTTGGAAAATCTTTTAAATCTTACAACCGCAAGATATTTTAAGCTCATTTATGGTAACAAGTCAGAATGCGTGCATCTGTCGCCAAATTTTCTTATATCTTCGTTATATAAAATAATTAAACAGTACAGTGTTTTTTTTTTTCTTTTAATCATTTATTATTCTATATTAACATTTGCTGTCAATTTCCCAGAATACTTTATACTAAAAATTAATATTTAATGCATCTTAAATTTTTCATATGGTTTGAAGTGTAATGGAATTTCATCTTAAATTCTAAAGAAAAACAACGAAGTTTCCTCCTATAATCTATATGGTTTTGAGTGCCTTGACCTCATGTTGCTAGAAGCTAACTACTATTCGTGGGGAACCATCATTACTTTGTTACAATTCTGAGTAAACTTGTGTTTTTTTTATTTAATTTTTGAATATGTATTATTTATTTTCTGTTCCCTCTCTTATTACACTTTTGTAAGCTCGTTTCACATAGCTTTTGGATAACACAAACTGTTGCTGACTGTAACTTGATTATCATTTGAAGAAGACAAAAATAGGCCATAGGCTGGCTGGGTAATAACAATAAGTGGCATTTTCCGGCCATCATCATCATCACAGGGCCTTTGTTATTTTTGCCATTTATTTAACTCCTCCTAGCATTTCCTTGTGGTCTATTATAATTTTGTTTTTGCTGTGGTAAAGCTCTAGGTTTTTGGGCTGCTCTTTGATTCGCGTTGTCTGTTGTCAGCACCCTCCGAGTTGGTAAACTATGGTGATATTTTCTTTTGTTCAGCAAATCCATAGTCTATGATGTTTATTCTTTTTTTTGATTGTTTTCACTTTTTGTCCCTGTTATTTGGACCAGTTTTGCAGATTTGGTATTGTAGCTTTTATGTTTCCTAATAATTCATGTGAATTAAGCAAAAAACAGCAAAGAAAATTGAGACTTTTTTTGGGAAATTGAAATTGTTATTATAAACTCAAATATTATGTTTATCTCTTTTAATAAAATAAATTTTAATTTCAGTGGAAAACTAAAATAAAATCACTACGAATTTTTTATTATTGTTAAATCTTTAAAAGTACCGCCAAGTTTCTATTAAAAAAAAAAAAACAAGTTAGCAAAGGCTATAGTCGTACGGGGCCGACCATTTGATACCCTACAACACTACAATATGTTAGAAGCCCCCTCATGTCCAAATCCATTTTGGAAGATTTCGCTTTTGAAATTATGTCACGAAGCACTGCCCAGATATTACCCTTGGCATTTTGACCAGGAACATTTGCACAATATTTACGCACTCCGCCGTGCTGTTAGTTTTTGTGGTCCATTTTACAGCAAAATTTAATCCAATGGTCATCCAAAATGCTAGAATTCTTCCCTGTCCTTAACTCTCTTCTCAGGCGTGCCGATTGGCTTCAATTCATTTGAACCCCTTAATATTTTGCGCTATCTCCAAAAGCAAGAGGCCATCTGTATCTCCGAATTTAGACTCATCTATATGATTTGCTTGTCTACGACATTTGGCTATATTCGTCAACGAAATCAGCATAAAAAGGATATCGCCTGTAAAAGTAGTGGTCCATTCTACCCGCTGTCCTAAACTCTAACTTCGTGCGAGATTTCGTATTCTTTGGTTTCTATTTGTGACCTTTATAAAGGCTACAAAATCAGGAAAAGTTTTAGATGTTGGTCCATTTCAATCCCGTAAATATATTGCGGACCTACTTGAAGCCTTTCAGAGCCTAACCATACCCTTGTAAATATTTTCGTGAGAATGGGACGATAATTGCAATCTGTATATAATGACCCAACCTCTGTTGTAAGGTGTAAAAATTTTACAAAATATACACTTCATTATTATAAGTCAAATTGAAAGAATCGCATGCGATAAAAAATATGAAAAAATAAAAAAAATTCACAAAATACTACAAAATCTATATTGACATGATTATTGGCATCTTCTTATGCGATTTTTTTTTTAGATTTTATATTTTTATGCCAAGAGAGCATTCTAAATTGATAAAATTTATCAAAATAGGTCCAGCCATTTTTGAGACATAAGCATTCTAGCAAACATCCCCTTCCTTTGTTTATATACATTGTATGTATTTCGCTATATATATCCGATATATTTACTATTGGCATCTACGTAAACGGTTGGAACGGTGATCTGCGCGTCTATTTGTGATTTCGTCGGGATTAAAAATATTCGCGGTTAAATGGAAAATTTGACTTTTATTTAACACAAATGTTATGGTCTATTTCAACCACTATATATTACCCGATGACTACGAAAATTGGAAGGCCTCTGCCCAGCCCTAAGCTCTAGCCCCATGCTAACTTCCGCTTCGATTGGTCTATAATTGCGACCTGTAGAGCAACTGCAAAATCCGGAAATTTTTCAGTTTTTGGTCCATTTCAACCCCTAAATATTATGACATCATATCCAAAAGCAATAGGCTTCTATTCTGGCCTTTTGTGAAGATCGGGCCATAATTGCAACGTGTAGAGTGATTACAAATTAACATGGCAGACGGACGGAGGGACATACATAACTAGATCGACTCAGCTCGGCGAGATAGGAACATCCAGATATACTTTCCTATGTGGGAAACCAATATTTCGAGGTGTTAACAATTTTTTGCCCAATCAAACTTATAATACCCCCAACACATAGTATTGTAGGGTATAATAATTTTCTAATTTTTAATAATAAGAAATTAAAATTTAAAATATTATATTTCTATAAGTGCAACGAAAATAAAAATAATTTTATAATTGTTGTTATGTTTTCATTGCAGTAACGTCATCCGGTGGAGGCTTTCGTGGATTTTTGGAAACTTATTTTGGGCCAAACTCAGCTGCTATGCCCAAAATAAATTCCCATCACTATAAAATGTTACTCGCAAATTGCATTCTGATATTGTGTCTCACAGCTGGCTATCAAAGATAGTTTATTAATTGAAAAAAAAAAACATAAACAAATGTTTAAAATAAAGCCATTAAGTTTTATTGTAAAATAATATTATTTATGATGTTAAGGTAATTTTACATAAACAAAAAACAAATAATAAAATATAAAATCAGCCTAATTAGATTTAGCATAGATTGAAATATTGTATAAGCAAATCGAGTGCAGTGCAAAGCAGCAACAAAAAACCTTTATAATTTAATTAAAATATATTAATTTAAATTTCCTCTTCAACAAAAATAACAGAATCACAACCTATCACACCCGCCATAATATTTATATTTCACATAAAAAATCGTTCATGCTATGCTTGTTTAGATAATATTGCTATTTAATGAATTAAAATAAAGAGTTATTTACCTGGAAAAAATAGTAGGTAATTCGTACAAAAAAAAAACCCTTTAAAGTGCAGATTAAAGTCAGTGAAAATAGTCCATTGTATATACGGTGAGGAGTGTGGTATACTTTATCAATATATTATTGTTTTGTTTTATTTCCAATTTTAAATATATATTTGTTAATTTACACATGATTTATAGTCAAATATTATCATTGACATTTTGTAAATAATTGCCATTTTCAAATGAAATGAAAAAACCGAACATGCACTTTAACGTCTATACTAAACACTCTATTATTGATAACATTAATAATGTTTAATGCTTTAAAAATACTTTGTATCCCAGCAAATATAATTTTTATCATTCCCAAGTAATTATGACACACGGATGCCAGTACTCTAGGTTAATTTCAAATGAATTAAAAAGAATAGATGAAAACGAACAATATCATGAGAACCGCTTTATAATAAATCAAGTCGTCATCGGTGATCCAAAAAAGCAAAAATTATTTACCATCATTTAGTTATGCCCTTCTCTTGAAAGTCAGATGTATTCGCCGGCATGTTGGAAAAGCCATCATTAGAAACGCACACAAAATGATTTTTTTTAAATTTTTCCAATTATTATTGAAAAAATGTTAATCACACTTTTTGTTCAATTTATCTCTTTGTCGTGAGATCCATTTTTCGAGAATTCTTTATAGTTTTATGCAAACAGTGATATCCTAGAAGCCCTTTTGACTAGAATGAACGAATCCCATAAAAAACAACACTCCTTGAAAAAATATTTCATCATGTACTGATGCAAAGCAACTCTCTTTGGTTTTGACAAGAGGCACCAGACCATGCAAAGCTTCTTGGAAATTGCCCGTGTCAATGGGTATTCAAAACAACAAAGTCAAACGCCATAATTTTTACATTTTTTTTTTAATTTTATTGAATGAAAGCAAAAAATGTAGGAAATAGCAGATTTGTTCGAATTGGTCACCTTTGGCAGGAATTATGGCCTTCAAACGGCCAATGAAACCGTCGCACGCTGCCGAATGTTGCTCTGCGGTATTTTGGCCCATTCCCGGCGAAATGCTTGCTTGAGGTGATCGACACTTTAGATTTTGTAGTGCCAACCTTGCTTTCAAAAATACTCCAGACACAATAGTCCAACGGATTGGTATCCGGAGATTTTGGTGGCCATTGTGCGCTGGAAATTAAGCGAGGAACCTTATTTTGTAACCATTCTTGAGTGATACGCGCTGAGTGCGATGTTGATGAGTCCTGCTGGAATGCCTAAGGTCTGCGGCCAAAATGTTTGTGTACCCAAGGCTATAATACACCCTCCAGAATATTTTTACGATAATATTCGGCATTTATTCTGATGCGACGATTAATACGAGCGGAGGGCTGCCATCGGCTGTTATGGTGGCCCACAAAGGTGCACATTTTCAGCTGATCTCTTTGGCAAGTAAACACGATAATTTTGTTGTTTTCAAACTGTTGGACAACGAATGTTTTCTCGTCGGAGAAAACCAAATTCGGCAGTTCACCACTTTCGGCCAAGCGAAACAACTCTTTAGATCTTTAGAGTCTATTTTCTTTCTGTTGCGGTGTAAGTTCTTGGACTTTTTGGAATATCAATGGCTTTACCTCGAGCTCATTTTTCAATATTTGCCGAATGGAATATTGCGATATGTTCAGCTCACGAGCCATTTTTCGGCCACTGCGACGTGGGTTTCGATCAAGTCGCTTCTTTACTTTTCGAACCATTTCTGCTGATGTTGCTTTTTTTCTTCCGTCCACTTCCTTAACATCGGGCAACGATACCAGTATAACGGTAACGAGCGATGGTACGAGACATAAAATATTTATTCACATTTAAATGCTGGAGTGCTCTAACGATAGCCACTTGTGGTCTTTCAGCCAAATATAAAAAAAAATGCTTAAATCCCATCACAAATAACTTATTTTCTGGAAAATTCTTACCGAAATGCTTCTGTACGCTTATAAACAATATAATGAGCTGTCACTGGAATAATTTTAACAGCTGTCGGACGAGTGGCTTTGAAATAGCAGCAATCTGAAGTTGGTTGCAGTTTTTTCATCTCACCCTGTATATAACAACGAAATCAGCATTAATTCGGTTTAGCCCTTTCATCCCATAATTTTTTTTTTGCGACCTTACCAAGGCTGGTGGGTAAATTAAGACGCAAATTTGGATCAGTCCGAAAATGAACAAAATCGCCCGACACCTTCTGGTACATATTCCACAATAAATTAAAATTTTCAAAACCATTGACTGATGTTTGTTTTAACTTAGCAAAAAATATACATCCAACTTCATGGGACTTATCGATCTGCTTCATCCCCGCTAAGGGTAACAATTTTTGAATAAAATTAATTCTCTTAAAATGTAAATCCAGTATCCAAGTTTCTAAAAATTTTGCACTTTTCAATATTATTGCCTATGTTAGAGAAAGTGCGAAAGTTGAACATTTTGGCCGTGTCCTTCAGGTAACTCCATATAAATCACAGCTATTATGCAAATTCCAATATTTCTTTCACTACCATATTTGACAATTTCAGAAAACTCAAAAAATTATGATTATTAAATAAATCGTACGATGTTTCAGATGTGATCGATATTTTGAAAAATCTAATGTCATGATTTAAAAAAAAAAAAAAACAAGTAAGCAAAAGCTATAGAGTTGCGGGGCCGACTATGTGATACCCTACAACACTACAATATGTTAAAAGCCCCCTTATGTTGAAATCCATTTTGAAAGATTTCGCCTTTGAAATTATGTCAAATTTCAATGTCCAGTTATTACCCTTAGCAATTTGACCAGGGACATTTGCCCAATATTTATGCACTCCGTCGTGCTGGTAGTTCTTGTGGTCCATTTTACAGCTAAATTTAATCCAATGGTCAACAAAAATGCTAGACTTCATCGATGTCCTTAACTCTCTTCTCAGGCGTGTCGATTGACTTCAATTGTGTGATCAGAAATTTTTTTTCCGTTTTTGGTTCATTTGAACCCCTAACTAATTTGCGATCATCCCCAAAAGCAAAAGGCCCCTCTGTATCTCCAAATTTAGCCTCATCTATATGATTTGCTTGTCTACGATATTAGTATGGTATTTTTTTCATACAAAAGAAGTGGTCCATTCTATTTTTTCGTATCCTTTGTATTCTATTTGTGGCCTTTAAGACGGCTACAAAATCAGGAACATTTTTAGTTGTTGGTCCATTTTAACCCCTAAATATATTGCGGACATCTTTGAAAACAATAGGCCTAACATTTATAAGCCTAACCTACCCTTTTCCGTGACGATAATTGCAATCTGCATATAAAAACCCCAACTTCTGTTGTAAAATGAAAAAATATTACAAAACAAGTAAGCAAAGGCTACAGTCGAGCGGGGCCGACCGTTGAATACCCTACAACACTATAATAAACGATACCGTTTATATATGTCTTTCCTGTATTTGTGAATTCTCCAAAAAGTCACTGGAATGGACATTTTCGTATTTTGTCTATAAAAGTTGGCAAACTCCTTCACACATTGAATATTTTTGGATGGCCATCCAAAACTGCTTGGCTTTTGCAATGTCCGGTAACCCCCATAATTACGACCTGCTGACAATTTTGCAGTTTATTGGTCCATTTCAATCCCTAAATATATGGCGATCATCTCCAAAAAGAATAGGCTTTTATTCTGACCCTCACCTTATCTCCATGCAAAATTTCGTAAGGATCGTGCCATAAATGCGATCTGTATATGATATCCTGATATCCTAACTACTTAGTTTTGTTAGCTGTAGAAATATTACCAAATATTTAATTCAAAATGAAAATATGCCAAAAATATGACAAAATTGAAAAAATATGAGAAAATTTTACAAAATCAATATTTTCATCTTTAGAGAGATATTTTTATGCGACTTTTTTAGACGTTTTTTCTTTCCTGCCAAGAGGCCATTCTGAATTAATGAGAACTGTCGAAATCAGTTCAGCCGTTCTCGACATATAAGAGATTTTTCAAGCATATCTTCTTTGATAAACATATATATCGCACATATTTTGCTATATATCAGTTTTGTTGGATGTTAACATCAATGTAAAGATCAGAAGTAACTTTGTCATGGCTTTGTGATTTCGCCGGAATTTAAAATATTCGCGGTTTAATGAAAAATTTTGAATTTTTTTAACAAAAAAGATATGGTCTATTTTACCCGCTAAATATTATCCGATAACCACCCAAATGGGTAGGCTTCTTGCCAGCCCTAAACTCTAGCTACATGCGAAATTCCGCGTCGATTGGTCTATAATTGCGACCTGTATAGCTACTGCAAAATCCGACATTTTTTCAGTTTTTGGTCCATTTCAACCCTTAATTATTATGCGATCATCACCAAAAGAAATAGGGTTCTATTCTGACCCTAGCCCCACCTCCATTTTAAATTTCGGACCATAATTGCGACCTGTAGAGTGATTACAAATTAACATGGACAGACGGACAGACGGACAGACGGACGGACGGACATACATAGCTAGATCGACTCAGCTCGGCGAGATAGGAAGATCCATATATACTTTCCTATGTGGGAAATCAATATTTCGTGGTGTTACATAATTTTTGGCCCAATCAAACTTATAATACCCCCAACACATAGTGTTGTAGGGTATAATGAATTCTTCAATATTATAAGTCAAATAGAAAAAATCGCATGCGATAAAAAATATGAAAAAATAAAAAAAATGTCACAAAATACTACAAAATCTAAATTTACATCGTTATTGACATCTTTTTATGCGATTTTTTAGATTTTATTCTTTTATACCAAGAGGGTATCCTGAATTGACAACATTTGTCAAAATATGTCCAGCCATTCTTGAGATTTAAGCATTCTAGCTAACATCCCCTTCCTTTGTATATACATATTGTATATATTTCGCTATATATATCCGATATATTTACTATCTGGATCTATATAACAGTCAGAATCGACATCTTCATCTATTTGTGGTTTCGCCGAAATTAAAAATATTTGCGGTTTAATGAAAAATTAGACTTTTATTTAACACAAATTTTATGGTCTATATCAAACACCAAATATTACCCGATGACCATCAAAATTGGAAGGCTTCTGCCGAGCGCAAAGCTCTAGCCCCATGCTAACTTTCGCTTCGATTGGTCTATATTGTGACCTATAGAGCAACTGCAAAATCAGGATTTTTTCAGTTTTTGGTCCATTTCAACCCCTAAATATTATGCGATCAACTCCAAAAGCAATAGGGTTCTATTCTGGCTATAGCCCCACATCCATTCTAAATTTCGTGAAGATTGGGCCATAATTGCGACCTGTAGAGTGATTACAAATTAACATGGACAGACGGAAGGACGGACATACATAGCTAGATCGACTCAGCTCGGCGAGCTAGGAAGATCCATATATACTTTCCTATGTTGGAAATCAATATTTCGAGGTGTTACATAATTTTTGGCCCAATCAATCTTATAACACCCCAACACATAGTGTTGTAGGGTATAAAAATTGAAGCCTCTTAAGAAAATTTTTTCTTATAGCAAATATAATTCAGTTCAAAATAGCTTATATAAGTATAGTTTGAGCGTTATTTAAGAAATTTAATTTTTCTATAATGTAACCGTGTAATTGAAAGTGAATTTATTCTTTATATGAATTTCGTTATGAAAAAAGTGACAATGTTGGTAAATTTTGATGCCACATTTAAGGATGTTTGTAAAAAATGGCACAAAACATTGTACGTATTGCTCCACATTTTCTACCCCCATATAATGGGACCA